CTCTGGGATTTTAAAAAACTTTAGAGCCAGCAACCCTAGTTTTAATTCACACCTCTTTGTTCTTACTACCCTTTTCCTAGAACTGTTCTTGGATGCAACATTTCTGTCCATGGATAGATACCAATTAGAACTGAAAAATTCTCATCTATCACCCAAGTACTCTGTTAGCTCCAGAATTAGTTATTAGTTAGACTTGGCACTTTTTACACCATCATTTCCCACAAATGACTCAGAATCCACAGTTGATACTTTTGCTTAGGAAGAGTGGATAGGCCTAAGGATTAGACACAGGTGCCATAGATATTTACCTGCTGGGTAGTTTGGGCCATTCTGCCAATAGGCTCAGCTTCTCTGAGCTCTGGGGCCTTGGCTGTCTACAAGTCCAGAACTCTCAGGCCAGCCAACATTGGTTGCAAGGGCTGGCTCCAACTGCCTGGCTGCCTCCCATTTGTCTGCTGGGACAGTTTTCTTTACCCGATTTTAGATGACCACATATTTCTGTCTGCTCACCATCTCCCATGAATTCATTGAAAATTCTCATTTTATGAACCTTCTTATGAGACTCCCAATCCCCATTTTTCTGTGCCATGATCGGTTATTTGGGTCTATCGATGGATCGATCATTATTTCAACGGGGTCTCACAAAGAAGGGAAGGAAAAGCTCTTTGCAAAGTCCAATTTCTAGAACTGGAAGTTTGTGATTTGCAGTTACGTTCCACTGCTTCTGCTATATGCTTCTGGATTAAGCTATGCAATCAGAGTTTTAGTGAAAAGACTGAAACACCTAGTTTATACTTCAGATAATTCAAGATACACCGTTGCTTCCTGGCTGCTGTTCTGAGTCCTCATCCAGCTGCATTCTATGCAGTCACATTAGGAAACCCAGCTGTTGGGTTTTCATCTTTCAATTAAAACCACAAGCTTCACCATCACCACAGAGATTCCAAATTTCTTTACTTAACCACCAAGGTGTTTAAGTTGCTTGTGTTTTAGGTAAATAAAAGGTTAAGAAATTGGCAAGTCAGGCCCAGGTGTCCGGGTCAGGGACTTACCCGTGTGGGACCGGAGGTGGACGGTGAGCTGGCTGGAGTTGCGGCTGGCGTAGGGGCAGAGCTGGCACTTGTAGGGCCGCTCGTCGGAGTGGATCCGCAGGTGCTTCTTAAGGCTGCTGCTGTCCACGGCGGCGTAGTCGCACAGGTGACACTTGTGGGGCTTCACGCTGGTGTGGCACCGCATGTGCATGGTCAGATTGTCCTTCCGGCAGAAGCTCTTGTCACAGAACTCACACTTGTGTGGTTTGTCTCCTTCAAATACATAAAAGATTCAAGGATTTACGGGTTACTCTGATCAAGATTACTGCCAAGAGATGTGCCCAAAATGGTCTGCCTCTTCCTTCTGCCCAGACGCCCAGAGATAGAAAGATACTTAAATCTAGATGACCACACTGGGAGAGAAGAAGGTGTGCCATGCACTGACAGCTCAGAAATCACGGAGGATTCAAAGGGGCAGGTTAGATAAAATCAGACTGAAGGAGAAAATCACAGGCCAACCCCACTTGGGAACATGGGAGTGGTCATAGAAGTACTCAGGTCTACTAGTGTCTTAGAACAGCTTCCTGGCTCACTAGTTGATGAACCACGTAAAGAATGGCCAGGAGGGTCCTCCCCTTATGTATACCAAACTGCCAGTAGCAACAGTATCCACCCTCCCATAGTTCCCCTGCCCCCAGCGACTAGGAAATGAGGGTGCTTAGACCAGAGAAATAAAGCCAACAGTCCAAGAAGTTAGAGATACCCTGGGAAACAGAGAACCCCATGCTCAGAACATCTCTACCAAATCGAGTGTTCCTTTCCTCCTCTACAACCACGTCAGACTGATCATGCCCAAACATACAGGATTTCACCCAGGAACCAAATGCTTGGGGAAGTCAGAGCCAGGAAGACACGCCTAAATCAATTTGCTCTAGGGTGAAGCTGGGATTTGAACCCAGGGGTGTTTGCTCCAGTATCTGCTACCTTGTGCTGTCTCGGCAATCTTTTTTTTGGACATGTCCAAATCAAGAACTTGAAGTTATAAAAGCAGTTTTCATTCCCAGGTTTATTTCCATTTTCTTCCAGTAAGTTGACTAGCAAAAGGATGTTACAACAGGGAAAGTGCCGCAACCTTTTGCAGCGAGGATTCAGGATCTGGAGAAGGGGCTGCGCATAAATGGATACAATAGACAAGAAATATAAATTTAGAAGGCATGGGGGGAGTCAGGCTTCTCTCTAGCGGAGAGGTTCTCCAAATCTCCGGAACCATAGCTTTTTATTTACTAGAATACACATTTGCCCTTTAGCTAAATAAACAAGCATATCAAAAGTAAAGTTTGGTAAACAGTAAAAGATTATCAGGTTAGGGCCGTGGTCAGCAAACTGTGGCTCGCGAGCCACATGCAGCTTTTTGGCCCCTTGAGTGTGGCTCTTCCTAAGCCTTAGGAGTAC